GCTTTATTTGTAAATTTCACAGAAATTGAGCTCAGTTTGCTCAATAGAAACAAACCAATTAGCCAAGTCTTTGTTCGCCCGTCTAACAAACGAAACAGTTAGAACGGTTCAACGAAGCAAAAAAGTATTTTAATGATCCAATCTTGAACTCTTGAACAAAACTTCAACATGTCTTTTCAAGAAAAGTTGTGCTGGAAAAAATCCCAACATGGAAAACCTCGACGTCACTATTATCTATTATGTCTCTAGCTTTTTTTACTTATACGGTAATGTCTTTGACTAGGACAAACTCCTAACCATATCAAAGAAAACGAACATTTTAAAACGCTATAACCCAAAAAGAACATTGGAGTAAAAAACCAAGCATTTTAGTTTAAAATTTGCATTGAAATAGTTCGGCTCGAATAATCATCAAATTTTAATATATATTAGTTTTGAACTCTGCTTTAGAATCTGTTTACTGCTTGGATAAAGATCTCAAACCGTAAAACTTGATTTTTGACAAAGAAAACTTGAACAACTTTATTTATGCGATTTAGGGAAACTACACCAAAATTTTTCCTCCTGCCAAGAACAAAGCTGCCAAGAAGAAGTTTCAAAACTTTTTAAATTATAGTTATTGATGTTGATTGCTTTTGGTTGTTGCGACACTCATGAAGCCTGATTATTATCAAAAACTGACAGGCAAAAGTAGTTCTATTTGCAAAAGTGTTCGTGCACAATATTTTGTTGCAAAACAAACTGGTGCACAAAAGAATGCAACAATTAAGAAAAAGAAGTGTACAAATGTCAATGAAACCTATTCAAGGGGTTTTGCAAGCTTTTTCTGCCATCAAAACCTGAATCGCAATCACTTTCATGTAAATTGCTTATAAAGTTAATTTCGTTGGTTCCATAAACAAGTAAATAATTTGAATTGTTTCCAGTTATTTTTTTGTTGCAAAAAAGATGTCATTTTACGAACGATTTTGTCCTAATACGCCATAAGTTATAAAGTCAGCAGTTTTCGTTCAATTTTTCTACATTTTCCTGGCTCAATTTAGAATACTGCCCACATTTTTTGCTTAATTTACAAAAATTAATTTACAAAGACGGTCTGACATGTGTACCGTAAACTTTTGTTAAGGAACTCTGCTCGGAAAAAAACATCCAGCAGATATCGGCTCGGGGTGCCAATGCTCACTCACTGCGATGCCACTTGGAGAAGCTTTTTCTTGTCAAGCAAAGATAACAAAAATTAAAATGAGAACAAATGTATTAGTTTTAAGATAAGAAGAAATCTCTCAAAACGACAAAATCTGAGCTCTTCGATTTTTTAAAATTCTTCACAAATGCATTGAAGCTGTCTCATGGCGTTTTTATTTCAAAAGAGGCAAAACGGAGTTTTTCCCTACTTGCAATGTCACTCAATTACATTTTTTCAAGTAGGTAGCTGAATGTCGCAATATTTATTTAAGATTTCATCAAATCAAAAGTACTGTTATAATTAGTCAAAATAGCTCTTAATTGCTTTAAGTGCATATTCTCATCTAATTCTTCATAAAATTATTAAGCAAACAAAAAACTGACTTTTTTTTCAATTTTCAAAACGTAAAAGTTTTATTGAGTTTGCAAATCCTTTGTTGTTCCGTTTCTGACAATTTAGAGCCACTCTAGCTGCCATGTTTAAAAATGTTCTGTTTCAATTTTTTTGACCGAGCTCACCAAAATTTTCGAATATGATACAAAACTCTTATTTCCAGCTGGAGAAAAACGTTCTCAAATTTACTGAATACAAAAATAATCAAGTTTTAACGATTTTCTTTAAATTAAAAGACAAACTTGTTTTAAAATATGTGTTCATTTCCTATGTCGACACTTAGTAGATTCATTTAATAAATTGAAAAGTGAAGAAGTAATTTAAAAAAATCTTCAACGCTTTTTTTAATTTTCAAGTCCGTTTGAAATATTTAACCATCTTGAAGCCAATTCATTACAGTTTTGAATTACACAAGAATAATAACCAATCTTGCAGCATTTATGTTTTAATCGTTGAACAAAAGTGCTGTTTTTTTCATAATTTCAAATCTCGCAAAAAATGGACCGTAGTTTGTACGTTCTTTATATTAAAATAATATTTCCAAGGGAAATACAAGAAATTTTTTTTACTAATTGTTGTAGAAAAATTGTAAGGAGGTCAGTTTTTTTCAAACTTCTCCTAATTTTTAATATTTTTAATTTCAAGTTTTTTTTATATAAAAATCAAATACTTTTGCTATTTTTATAATATCAAGCAAATATTAGCTTCAAAATACATCAACGCACTATTTGTAACTTTGACAAACTTTGATTGCTTTGCAGTAGGGCCTTTGTTTGGCGGGCACAAGCTAATCATTCAGTTGGAATGGTTTCTGAAAGCAAAAGGAAATCTAAGGATCTTATCTTCATACATTAAAATTTTCAATCAAGGCTTTTTAGGTTCAGCTGCACTAAAAACAGTTAAGGTGGGGATCTTCTACTTCTGTTTTTTGTCTTAACGTTTAAAAAACAGCGTCTTTAATTAGGAAATAGATCCTTAATTAGATAGAATTACACGAACGCTTTAAGTTCCTAACTTAAGGAGTCAGAAGGAATTATGTATCAGTTACCCTGTCGTAAAACTTAACTTAGCAAAATCCAAAATTAAGGATAGGGACCATAGCATCATTAAAGAGCAACTAGCTGTTCTTAAACTATTTGAAAAAGTCTACAAATGATTTAAAAAATCGAGTTGAAACAAAAATTGATTTAAAAATCCAGAACCCGAAAAACCACGTTTGATAAGAGTGCGAAGAAGAGCGGTAATTTTCCCAGAAATTAAAAATAACCGGTGTTTAAAATGTTGCATCTTATATTGAAAAGGATTTTGGTTGTTTTGCTTTGAAACATCAACTTTTATTAATCCCTAATAATTATGCTTTGGGCCTAAGAAATTGTTTACACTTTGAAGAACAACCTCACACCGTAAAAATCTGTGGTGTGAAAACTACAGCAAACACTTTCTTCCAACTTAAAAAAACTACTAAAAAGAGGCTGTAAATAAAATTTACATTGTTCACTGCCTGCTGATTAATGAAACTGCTGAAGCCTGAGAGTTAACGGAAAATAACACGCAAAAATTAATTTTAATTAAAAACGAGTTCGAGCAAAATATTTGCTTCTCATCTCGCGCACAAAAATGAAGTAATTAAGAAAAAAATTGGTACAATTGTCAATGAAACCTGTTGCAAGCGTTTTTAAAACGGAAACTAAATACTATCGTAATCGGAAACTAAATACTAGGCGCTTTTAGGCAAATTAATTTTTGAAATGAACCTGAACGTTCAAACAAGAGAACATTAATTTCTCTTAAATCGATTTGTATGTTCTCAGGCAAAAAGATGTCAAACTAGGTCAGAGTTTGTCCTATTAAACATGATGTCAGTTTTATTCATGAGAAGAATTGTTTACTGTTTTCTTGTTTAACTTCGAAAAAAAATTATACAGGCGACCTGATGCGTGTTACATATATGTCAGACGAACTGTTCACAAAAATGTTCAACAGTTATTGGCTCGTCGTGACAACCGGGAGTTCACTTGGTGACAATTTTTCCCCGAGTGAAGTCCGCTGACGTTCAAAAAGAGGCGAAATCAATTTTATGGTATTGAGTAAAATAATTTTCTCGGGAATGATTCCTGTGCTTTAAATTGCAGAAACAAATCGAAAAACTAAATTTGTCAGAAAAAATCTTCAGTTTCTAGCGTTAAAAGTTTAAGGCCTTTGCAGACAATTTACCGTTGATATTACTCATTTCTATTGTTTTCGTGTCTGTGCAGAAAACTATCGTTAAACTTAGTTAACTTAAATTATTAAAAGATTGCTAGTTCCAACTTTTATTGGCAATTTTTGAATTGATTTGACCAGTTAAGGCGCATAGTGTTTTCGCATTATGGTTAACTGGAATGATGCTAAAGAAAAAGCTAAAGAAGCAAGAAACAAGCTTTTTTGAGATCAGAAACATTGATAATAGACTACACAAACAATAAGCAGCTCCATGAAAAACTGACTGCTTTGAAAGGGCTTTGGAATACCTAACAAACACAATTATTAAAGGCAGTTTGCGATGCAAAAAGTTGCCTTAGTTCAGCGATAATTTTATTGTAACAACAGCAACATCTTCCTTATTTCTCAGTCAAAAGCGTAGGTTCATTTTTGCCGTTTTCTAACCCTTCTGACTCAAAAACAATATTGACAATATTATTTGATGAATGAAACATTTGAAAGAGTAAAAATTTTCACTCCGAGCTACTTGCATATAGGTATAACTTTTTGGAATGATTGCAAAAAAAAATTAAAATTGTAAAAATTTCAAGCTAAGGCACTTTTCTGAACAATAAGATTCAAAGATAACTTTCAAGTGGCTGTAAAAATATTTCCAACATTTACAAAATAACATGAAAATGCAACAAAAGTACTTGGATCTTGAATACTTGCACAAAATACGAAATCATTGAAAAAATTCTATTTTCATGAAAAATGCTTACTCTTAAGCAAAACCCGTGCAGTGGTAACTAAGCCGGCAAAAAAAAACAAGTAGAAACATAGAAGATCGAAAATAATTTAACGCGCGGTAAGCTTTCAGCTTCTTCAGTGAAAAAGGCTATTTAGTTGAGAAGCTATTTTGTTTTTGTATTTTTAAACACCAAACATTCCGCTCAGAAAAGAGAAAACTTATCCAACCGAAAGTTGGATAAGTTTCAATAACACAAGAAACCCGAAAAAAAAACATTTCAACTTTCTTTTTTTTTGAAAACACCGTAAAAAAGCTATTTAGAGTTTGAAAGCTATTTAGATTTTTATTTGCTAGACGCCAAAGGTTCCGCTTCCAAAACAGAAAACTTAGCCAACACAGTTGGATAAATGTCAATGAACAAGAAAATCGAAAACTTACAATTTTTGAAATATATATCACGCGCAAGCTCATCAATTTTAGGAACATTTTATAATTGCCCCCTTTTCCTACAATTAATCAGAAAACTTAACGTCAACATAACGTTATTAATCTACTCCGCTGTGAAATTAAGATCCACTTTCCAAACAAGCCATTAATGTTTTTTCGCTATTTCCATTTGGCAATTGAAATAAGTAATTTGCAATTTTAGAATTAGAATTTATTTTACTTCTGTCAAAATCAAACTTAAGCATGATCAAATTTACGGATTTTTCATGAAAGAAAAACAAAGCCTTACGACCCAAATAAGTCTGTTCACTTCGTTCATTGAGACTTAACTAATTTGATTTATTAAACTCAAGGGTGAAAATAGTACAAAAACAAACTGCATAATCATTAATGTTTCTTTGAGTTTTCAAGTCTGCATGAAATTATCAATATCTCCAGCGTTGTTTAAATTCGATCCAACTTGAAACTGATTCATTACGATTCCATTATTATTTATTAAATTGTTAGCTGAGTTTTGGTGTATTAAGAAGGCACTATTTTGCATATTAATATCGCCAGGATTAACTTCGAATTCCATACTCTCTGAATTGTGAACTGAATTTCGGGAATACGTAGAGTTACTCAAGTTTGCTTGTTCTGACATTTCTGAGGAGAATTGTTCTATCGGATTTTCGATTTTCACGTTAGTCGCTATTGCTGAATTCAATGAACAGTTATTAGTTGTAAGTGTACTTGAAGTTGAGGCTTTCTGTGAAATTTGGGCTTCGCATATATTTAGAACAGAGGATTGAACGGTAGTTAGCAGAACTTGTCCTTGAGAAACCAAATGTTCTAATTTGTCTAGTTCGCTCACGTTTTGAGCTTGCAGTTGCTCGATTGATGAAATCTAAAATATTTTAAAAAGCAATTCCAAATGATATGTCTAGTAACTATAACCCGTCTCACCATTGTCTTTTTACAAATATCCTCACCCCTATAAAGGCCAAGTTCAATGTTTCAGCATACAACTTTCCATCTTTCAACGAACTTCCCTCTTTTCCAATGTTCGGGGTTGGGTGTTTTAGAAATTAAAGATCAAATTCACAATTCAGAAAAGATATTCCACTCTTGTGCGGGAGGGGGCGGGGGTTTGAGTTTAGAGATTGAAAACCCACCTAGAAGATACAACAGCTATTCATAAAAGTGTGAATTAAGATGAATCTGTGTTTACCTGGAGTGCTTTGGTGCTCTCGAAAGACGGCAATGAATCGATCAAGATGTCGATATCCTTCGCAGTCTTCATGATTGTCCGGGCGTAATAGTTGACAGAATCAGTCGAGCTTTTTTCTATAATATAATCAAATATGCTACCAAAAACATTAGAAGAAATTGTTGTCCCATTCAAACGATTTTAATGGAAGCATTTGAATTCTAAATATCATGCTCCGTTCTCACCAATAATTATGTTAGAGAAAGTTTTAAAAAACATATAGTCATTCAAATTTACAATGCCCAAAAAATGCCCACCTTCAGTAAACTCACAAAAATCTATCATCACACTCGTTGCATTTTTCAAGAATTTCCACATCAGGTTTTTATAATTTTTTAGTTTTTTGTATAAAAATCATTAAGAATGAAACTTGTTTGCATTCTGACTTTCATGCTAATTCAAATTATTTCGACTGAAAATATTAATTTGTCGCTCTGATTATTGCTAGTAGTACCTTCTCCATTCTCGTCAGCCGGTTTTCTCGTTGCTTTCTGCAGACTACTCTCGCTATCCTCTTCGAATTTCGAAGGAGATGCTTCCTGTTGAAGTAGTCCTATAGCATTGCACATCAGATCTGCCAATTCGTTGATTGCGTCCTGCAGCTGTGTTACACGGTCACTCATTCTTCAAGTTTGACTCGTGCTTTAAATCATACAACCAACAAAAAATTACAGGTCAAGTACTCATCATTAATCTGAAAATGTAAATCTGAATCAGGTTACAAGACCAAATTTACCATATGCTATTATCAGGGGCGGATCTAGGACTTTCTCGAGGGGGGGGGGGGGGGCGGATTTTCAAAAAAATTTCAAAATTTTGACCTTTTTTTAGGTCGACCAAATTGATTTTCCGAGCTCTCCTAAAGCACTAAAAAGACGTGGTTTCTACACCGCAGGCAAATTTTTGAATAACAGGTCAAAAAAGCCGTTTTTGGGCACTTCTTAGAAAAATTTGACAAAAAAATTGCGTTTTTTTGCGCGCGCTTCCCCTCAAAATAAGTATATATTGTCGCCGAAGGCGCCTTTAGAAAAATTTTAGGGTCGACCTGCCAAAAATGGATTTCATAAAAAGTACCAAGGGGGTACCCTTTGGGTCGGCAGGGGGTCGAATCCCTGAGAGGGGGCGTCCGCCCCCCGCCTAAGTCCGCCCCTGGCTATTATCTGCCAATGCTAGGGGAGCGGTGGGGATGTGGCTAAGGTCTAAGAGGAAAAACAGATGTTTCGATGCCACTATAAACTGCGATAGATAGGATGAGAGGGCATTATCCAGCACAACAGCTATTCTCCGTAAACATCTCATATAGGTTCTTTCAATTTCGGTGGGTTGTCAAGTTAGTTTTCTGCAATGTTTTAATTGATTAGTTTCAGTGCTATTTACTTCCCTGTTGGAAATAGATTACTTGCCCAGACAAGAGAACTTACGCAAAAAAACTCTGAATGCAGATTATGTAAACTCTTTCTTTTAACGGTCTTATATTTCTACCACTTTCGAAGAGTTAATTGCCTCGGGTGTTTATCACTTGCGCCAAACAACGCTCAAACCGCATCGAGTGTGGTCAGTGTTGGCAAAATTGTGTTTTTTTTCCATAAAAAACGTTTTAAACGTTTAAAACGTTTTAAACATGTTTAAAACATGCCAACACTGAGTGTGGTACTAAACAAAAACCCCGTTGCGAAATAAAATTAATTTCCAAAAAATAGATTAAAGATATCTGCGTCGATCAGAAAAATTGGTCTGTAGTTCCGTTTTTCTTATTAAATTTCAGCGGAGGATAAAGTATATAACACAGCGTCGAATATTCTTTGGCAAAGAAATGCAGAAGGGTAAAAAATAGCCAACAGACAGTTGGAAAATGTCAATGAGCTCAAAGAATATGATTAAATACAGAATTGTTTGTGATTGACTTTTTGATTGAAGAAACGTTGTAATATCTGGTTGTTGTTTGAATAAAATAATCTGGATCAAAAAGTTTTCTAAGTAGGGAATTCTAAAATTAAGTATTTTCAAAGTTTTGAAACAAAAAAGCATAGTTTCTACGTGCCATTTGCATTTTAAATGGTAGAAGTGTAATTGACTTCGATTTAGCGATTGAATTTCAAGAAAAAAAATTAAACGTCACACCGCCAAAAAAATATGTGCGTAACCAACTTTTGACTCTTGTTCCTGGAAAAATTAAAAACCGCACAATCTTTCCAAGTGTTTTCCATTCGGTCATTGACAGTTTGACATAAAACTGTAAGATCCGAAAACTATAAAGAACAGGCCAACTAGGGGATTCCAACCACGGACCTGCTGGTTACGAGGCAAGCGCCTTCCCCCACTGAGCCACCTGGCCTAGCTGTCTGTCTAATCCACTTTACAAATAAACGAAAGGTTAAAACAGACAGCAACAAATACGCTTTATTACAGCTAACAAACCAAGTGCTACTACTAGATTGCTCAACTCAATTGAACAGAAAAATTTGAAATTAGGGTTGAGAAAAACGAACTCGTATGACAAAGAGTCCAGAAGCATTTGATTGCGTAAATACTCACTTCTAATTTCTTTTTGAAAATTGTTTAAACCTTATCAGGCTGTTTTTAACTAATATGGAGCTTATATTCAATTCGTTTCTCTTATTCCAGAAAATCGCTAAAAGTTTGAAAATTTTTTTGCCATTTTGGCTAAAAGTTTTTTTTTTCAGAAAAATTTGATTTTTGTGAATTTATTATTTGTTTTTTTTTTCATATTAATACCTTAAATACCGTGGTCATAATATTTTTCACACCTTGCAGTAGAAACTCCTCGGTGAAACTTAACAAGAAATGGTGATTAAATGAACTATTTTAAAACAATTTCTTTTAAAACAAATTACAAAGAAAACGAACGGCTCTGGGTTGCCATAAGGACACGTATATAGACACGCACCAACAGAAGAATTTGGCATAAGAATAAATCTAGTTTCAAGTAGTTTCTTTTTCAAAAATTCTTTGCGGTCATTTCTCCGTTTCAGATTTTTCATTTTGACCACCTGTGATCAGCGAACCGAAAACAGACGCAGGAACATTTCGCTTTACAACTTCTGTCTTTTCATTTTCTTCTAACTGATCATCATCCATTTTTTCTTCATCCGAATCTTCCAAATTCATTTCATTAGGATTTACAACTTTTTGACTGTCTAGTATTTTACTATTACTACTTGAACTAACGAACATTATGTTTTCTTTAGCCGCATAAGTCGATTGGCTTAAAGATTTTTCATCCGCTGATTTTGGTTCGTTATTGTTATTAGATTCGGTCTCTGTGCTATTTCGACTCATAGAACTGTCGATTTGGCTGCCTGAAAGGTCATCTGAAATTTCGTTTTCTGAAGTTTTCTCCATAATTTGCGACGTGATATAATTAACTTTTGTATTGAATGTTGCCTGAACAGATCTTTTGATTCGTAACATTTCACGTAAGGTATCTTCATTTCCATGTTTAACTTCAAAGTTTTTCCAACTTGTCCAAAATTCAACTGAGGTTCTGGGATCGCAAATTTGAGAACAATGGGCGTAAATAGCTCTCGCTCGATCAACTTCGCCTAATTTTGTTTCCAACTCAGCGAAACGCAAACACATTATTTTCGATCCGTCATCTGTCAAAACGTCAATGGCTTTTTCGTATATTTCTCGACAGTGAGTTATGCCAAAATAGTCGGCTGCTTTTTTGAGGTATATTTCGAACACTTCAAACTGTTCTTCCGGTTTCACAGCTAAAGTTGCACGATCTAAAATTGCCATGGCGTGCCTGAAACAAAAAAATTAAAACATGTAAAAACTTTTCTCAAGTTTAAGCATACGGCGTAAACGAAATAACTACCATTTTTAAGGAAAACAATTGAGATACGGCTCCATATCTTTGCATCAAACTTTTCAGGAAAACGCGATTTTCATGAAAAATGATCGGCAAAGTTTTTTCAAAAGGCAACCACTTGAATTTCAAAAGCTCCGCTTGGCGCAGGTTACAGGGTGTAATACTAATCATGGCTAAGAAATTACACCTGAATTACTTAACAATAGCATAACATTAGTGACAGTCTGCTGTTATGTTGCATAACAAAATTAACTTTCGGCTTGATGAAATGGGCATTTTTTTTCGGCTTGTTGGATCTCCGCTTTTGTCCCAGCACCATTATTACATTACTGATGCTAATTGCATCACTTATTTTCCATAGCGTTCGGCTGAAATATTATCAGAAAAATAATCTGAGAAAAAACTCAATTCTTCTGAAACTTGTTTTTGAAACATACCTGGACATGCCGTAATCCTCCTCCATCTTCGCATACATCAAATAGACACTCTTAGCACTCTCTTTGGGAATGCCCTCCACACACTGTTCGAACAAGTCTCTAGTCCTTTCCAGTTTCTGTCCCTTGTATCTCTGGATGAATTTGGACAGGTATGTGTGCCAGATGTCATACACATTTGGCCACTTGAACAGGGCGATGCCTTTCTCGAATGCCTGAAAACAGGTCAATTTTTTTTTCATTTAGCATCTAAAGTTCCAAGCCTGAATTTAAGACCAAAAATTAAGTGCTTAAAGTTAATTGTTGTATTTCATGAGCAATTTTTGTCTCTTGTTTATCAACGCATGCTAAATTTGTCCTAACTAACTGGATAACTGGATCGCTAACTGGATAATTGGACCAAGATCGTAGTTAATATTGGTTTATCCAAGCACCTTATCTAACTTGTTCAGATCTTTGATATCTTGCAAGAAAACGTCACAACATAGCTTGCAATTGACAAGATTCTGATTGCCGAAACATTTGGAACTTACCTTGAAAGATTCCTCGAAGTAATTGTTTTCCTCCAGGAACAAAGCATAGTTCATAATAATCTGAGGAGTGGCTATTCTCAAGTCAATTATGGCATCGTAGACTGCTTTTGCTGTTCTGAATGTGCCCATACTTTCCTCCAAGTCCGCGTACAATGACCAGATTTTGAGGGACCTGTTCAAAAACAAGTCAGCACTATTCATAAGTTAAAATTTTCCACACAGCGGCTAAGCCAAGCTTCGCACCACTTGCGATATCACCTAAATAGCATTGCAAGCTAGCAAACAGAAAGCAAAAACAAAATCACTAAGCCGAAAAACATAGCGAAGTTTAAAAGAGCAAGAAAACCAAAAAAAAAGATTGAACATTTTTCAATTTTCGAAGAAACAAGTACATCAAGTTAAAGCTCTTATAACTTCAAGATCAACTTATGATTGACACATTTTTGATAAAACTAACCCAATTTAAGAAACTGGGTCAAGGGGTGAATTTTTTCTTTTACTGGGAAACCTCAAACACACTTTCAAAACTCAAAGTCGTTGACGTTTTTTGCGCCAACACCGCTTCCATAATTGGAAAGCACAAATTACTTAAATTTGAGCAAACGAATTTGAATTTAACTCAAAAAGTGCATAAACCTTCAAGTGTATTCATTAATGCATGAAGATGTTTGAATGTACTTCTTTAGTTATTAGAGCATTTTAAGAGTTTTTCCTGAAAAAACAAATGAACAAATCATCAAGTGAAAATAAGTGAATATAAGTGAAAACACCTTCGTTCTTTTACACTTGAATTTTTTTCTGACATGATTCTGAAAATGATCAAAAGACGTCAGAAAACGGCATTAAATAGGTTTTCAGAAACAGTTATAGAGCAGCAACTAAGCCAACAAAATTTAAATCAACTACATTTGAGTCGATAATTATGGTCTTAGAAAAATGAAAGCTCTGAAACTAAGTTTACACGCCAATGCATGACCCAGAACGGCAATACATCTCACGGGAAAATTAACGGCCCTCATTGCCACTTAATTGGATTATCTAGTTACTCTGCTATACAAGATGCTCAATTTGTCCTAGCTGTAAACTAATCCAAAAATTCTAACATATTACTCTTTCAAAAAAATTTAAATCAAAAGATTTCAAAACAATTGCCGGGTTGAGAGACATATCGCGATGAATCATCTTCCGCTCTATATTAGTCTGGAAACCAAAAAAATATCCAGAACGCTGTTTCTTGACACTTAGATAACTCTTTCTGTATCTTAAAACAGATACAATTGCAACAGAAACGGCTTTAAAATGATAAACAACTTGACCTTGTACGACAAGCATTGGCGGTTCCTGCTTTTGCTAGGAAAAACACTGAAACTTGTCGATTCTTCAACTTTTTGATCGGAATGAACAATAACGAAATATTAATGAAACAGAGGCTAAACTGAGCTTCGCACCACTTGCGATAGAAAAATATGTACCCGAAATCAAATTTACAGCTTAGAAAATTACGTTCTTTTCGCTCCATTTCAACGTTCGTATTTGGAGTTCTGTTTAGGTAACTTTCAGCAGATGAATTTCAATTAACTCAAAAAGTGCACATATACCTAAGTGCATTCATAAATGCATTAATATGTATGGATGCGCATCTGCAGTTATTAGAGCATTTTAAGAATTTTTCCTGAAAAAAAAACAAAAAAAAATCGCCAAGACTTCTTTAAGAATCTTCAATACTTTCATTACTCTGAACACTTATTTTCAATTGTTGTAGGAAAATTTTAGAAAAAAAACAATTAAAACGCAAAAACTCATAAATGCAATTACTTCCTCCAGAAAAAATATTCCTCCAAAAAATATCTAAACCTGATTTAGATTTTTTCAAGCACATTGTAAGACTTCAACCATTCTTACTAAAAAAACAAGATGTAATTGAAAAAAAAATCATTCCGAAAATGAGCCGACGGAATTAAAGCCGCCACTCAAGTGCCGAAAAGATACCGAAAAACTTCGGCACAGAAATAGCTATTAAAGGAACTCGAAACCGGCACACAAGGCCTTTGCCAACATGCACCCACTACATTCACCTCTCCAGTAAAACACGTGTAACCATTTCACGTGCAAAATCTGTGCCTTAAGTTATTGACCGGAAAAAGTCTAGTACCCGATAGCAATGCCCTTGCTTATCGCAAGGGTAACAATTTACAAAAAAGGCACAATTAATTGCTTTCACAGTAAAAAAAATGCAGACTTTCAAAAAAATCCAAAAAAACTTCTGGGGAAACAGAAAAGGTCCTGACAGGATTTGAGCCACTGACATTTGTCTTTGCAGGCATGTTTGTTTTCTCTACGCCACATGTGCGGATCAAAGCCTTGATTTTAATTTAAATCTGAACTGAGAAGACAAAATAGATGATTTTGTAATACTAGTTCGTAACATGAAAAAAGTTTTTTTTATTTAACAATGCTTGCTAATCGCGAGCGTAGTTAGACACACAGGCTAAGTTGCACTTCGCATACACGATAATGCTACTGGGAAAAACTGAATGAGTTAAAATATGAGTCTACAAAACTTCTCAAGTGACGCACGCCAATTATGTGTCTAAATAGTTGCTAAGTGAGACAAGCCAATTATGACGCATTACCAGTCAATTTGAAAAAAAAAGATAAATCTACCAACTAACATGCCTCAATTTATAGAGCGGACACATTTTAAGTAGTATACGAAAAAGTTCATTAAAAACATCCGAACCTGACGAGGTTCGAACCCTCTTATTTTGTTGGTCTCCTTCCCTACCTCTACGCTACAGATCAATGATACCTTGAAACTAAAGTGCTATTTGTAATATATAAGTCTTTGTTAATATCCTTAGTATTGGCTGTACTTAATAGCTGGATCAAAATGAACATTTTGTCGCAACAATTGCATCGCAACAATATTAGCGACTTAGGTTGGAAAAAAAAGAAAGTTCATAGTATAACACAAGCTATGCTTGTGTAATTAAATGCTGAATTACGGGGAAAAAAATCGGTATTTAAAAATGACATTTACATATTCTTTGTCTATTTTACTTGTTCAAATCTAGAGCCGTCACTTTTTGCCATTAGCAAATTTTGAAGCTCTAGTTCTCAATGTTCGCTATCTTTTTGCTATCCTGGATGGTATTACAATTGTCCTTACCTGTAGACTCTATTCTGAGCTGGTTCGCTGCTGTCGAAGTAGGCCGCCTTCTTAGCCGGCGGAGTGGTTGCCCTTTGCATCAACTTCATGGCCTTCTCGTGGTTGCCCAAGTTGATCTCCATCTCTGCATACTCACACCAGATATTGGCCAGTTCTTCCACTTGTTTGAACGGAACCTACGAAGCAAACCAACCAATTTCATCTTCGAGCATGAAGTCAAGACTCCTTGCAATTGGTGGTTTGATGAGCCGAAGTATAAACCAACCGAACATGCGCGTATAAGCCAGCCGAAAAGTTACATCATATGAATGAGCTTGCATAACTTTCCTAACTGTTACATAATTTTTACATAACTATTTTATAACACTAAAGTATTTTCGGCTGGTTGGTACTTCGGCTGGTTTATATACCCCCGGTTTTATATAGCTGGTTTAAAATACTCCTCAATATATTTTTAAAATGCTTAAAACGGGTCATGCCCCATTTGGAAATTCTATTCCAATGAGCAATTCTATGGAGATTACACCCCCACCTTGATAAAAAAATCCCAGTGCGCCAGCAACATAATTATTCTGAGCTACTTCGTCGGATCAAATGGTTGCATCTAGTATTTTTAGTAAGCTTAGACATTTAAAATGATTCCATACTCATTTCAAACATACCTGTGTTGCCTTTTCATACACCATCCTAGCTTCTTCCACGTGCTTCTGATCCAGATAAAACTTCGCAAACTTCATAAACAACTCACTAAATTTGCCCAAAGCCTGCTTCGGGTCAATAGTGTCAATCGCTTTGCTGTAGGTCTTGATCACTTTTAGGGGCTTACTCTCTAATATCTCGGCTCGTTTCATCCAATCAGCAACATTATGAGGGTTCTGCCTCAGTAAAACTGAGTTCAAATAAAGCGGTCGTTTCATTATCATTTCTTCGTAACGCGTCAACATTAATTCCAGTTCTAGTTTTTGAGCTTCCGTAATGTCACCTGTTAGTGATGTGGTTAAATAAGTGGCACAAAAAACATTTTGTTTTAAATTTCTATAGCTACCATTTTTGGTCGAAACCTATATGTGACATTAAAATAATTGGACCAAGTTTACATCACTCCCTAAAGCATTTTAGGGCGGAGGATGTTAACTTGGTTCTAGGCTAGAATTTTCAGCAAATCAAAATTGAGCAATTAATACGTGGTGCATGCGCTAGTTTTGGGTGACCTAAACGCTTGACTGGTTGTTAGAGTACAATTTTCTCTGGCTTTGAGCTTATACTGTAAATCAGTGAAAAATCGGTTACATGACAAAAGGCATTTATACGATCTCCATTTGCTGCAGCGCCAGTGTGTCGTTGTCTTCGTATCGCGTTTCTTTTGAAATTCATGGCCATCAAGAATAATCAGAGTTTGGCCTTTTTGTGAGGTTCCCCAAGTAAAAGAGTTCATTTTTGACTTATCAATGAGTTAAATAGGGAGACAATGAATGCAGAGTGTATACATTTTCAATTAAGTTGTTCTAATTCAATGCCATATTAACACTAAATTAAACACATGTTGGCACTATGTTAATCCCAAAAATGAGTCCAGTTTAAATTAAGTTATCTTAAATTTGCATTGTTTTTCAATAGCGCGAACCTAATTGAGGTATCATTACTCTAGATTTATTTCTGCTTACACTTTGATCATAATTTTTGTTCATAATTCATGGGATCTTTTTAATTGGCATGGGATTTTATGGTATGGGCGATTTTTATACAAGGGATCTTTTGGTATGGTATCTTTTGTCATGGGAGCTTTTGGTATGGTATCTTTTGTCCTGACACCGAAAAATCACGTCTTCATTGAAAAACACCTTTAACGCCGTGTTATCAAATAATTGAAACGAGTCACTTTTCATGACAAAATGGGCTTGAATGTCAATCATGATTACCGTCCAAGATTTGGGTATTATATCATATCAGTGCCACTTATTATGTAATATCACAAGCCTTTCTCTTGTTTGCCAAGGAGATGTTTGATAAGAGATTCTTCAAAGACTACATATGCATCAAACACTTGAGTGAAATCTCGCACTGTCACTACTGCGTGTACTGCTTCCATGTAGATATCCCTGCAAAAAAAGATAACAGTATGAAAAAACACTTCGAAAAAAATTTAAAGAATTGAACCGTACCTCAAAACTACAATCGAATGAGTCACTAGAAAGTGAGCGCAAGCAACCGCTTAAAATAAAAAGTAAAGGAATCAAAATCACAGCATATTTGTTTTATGTTAGTCAGTCGGCCACTTCCACGGGAAATTTCATTCAAATTTGAAATTTCATGTGAGTGTGTCTTTTGTCAGAAAGAACAGCAAATTACATCAAAACAGTTGTCAATGGAGTAGTTCAACCGGCCTGTCATGTCTTATCAATGGACTAGTTCACTTATTTACATGTAGAGATTTTTGAAATTCTCTATTAGAAATTTCTGCAACTTTATATAATGTAATATATTCTATGGTATTTTGTTTACCTGGCTCGGTCGAATAGTCCGGCTCTGATGTAGTAGTCAGCCAGTGCACACCACAGAGTACCCCTTTGGTCTGTGAATCGACTGATTCCCTGCCTGATAATCGCCTCCGAATCCAACGAGGTCACCTGAAAAAAAGCATGCAACATTTGCTCCATAAAACTTTCTCTGTTTCTCGAAAATAACGCAAAAACTACTAGGTGCGTTTCTGGATGCCCCATCATATTTAGCGGGAAAAAAATCAATTTATCACTGGGTAAACTCTTAAAAAAGAGTACTAGACATTTGAAATTTTGTAAGGTTGAATATAATTTGTACATCTTTTGTAGCTCTAAAACTAGTTTTTGAATAAAAACAGCTTATTTAGTATAACAGACAAACTAAAACTAATCTGTCATTTAATGTTTTCGAAATAAACAATGGCTACTTGCATGAAAATCAAAACAACTATTTTTAACATAGCGTTTTGTAAGCGAAAAGCAGCATAATTGTATCGGACTGTTAACCGAAGAGCGGAAACAAATTATATGCTGCTTTTTAAATACTTTTTGAAAAAAATTTTATCACATGCTGATGTCGAAAAGTAAATTTTCTTGAAGCAAAAACTGCTTACTTGGAACGGATGCTTGGACAACAGATCACACAAGTAGTTCCACAGCTGGAATTTACTCTTTCCCTTCTTGCTTTCAAACTTGGAGTCATTCACCAGATCAGCTAGTCTGGTCACTGCTTCATCTAGATGTCCTATTTTGACCAGGAATTCAATGAAGTCCTCAGCCTCGTCAGGCGCCAATTTGAGATAGCTAAACAGAAAAACACTTCAAGATCTGTTTTTGTTCCGGCCATTTAAAAAATGTGGAGGAATTTTGTCTTCGGGTCTTTTAGTTTTTTTATTTTTGTTTTCCACGCAAAATCAGGTACCACAAATAATTACGGGAATGGGTCGAGTGATATATCATATCAAAGTCCTTTCAGTCGATTCGAACGCCACTAAAAATTTTCCAAAAAGTCCCATTATCGAGAAACACGTTTTAAAATTTTGATTTTGAGTCTAAATTCCAGCGAATAATGCGAGCAAGCAGGATTACGATAGCTTATTTAAGGCCGTGAAAACTTAATGTTACTCAAATCAAATGGTATTCGAACTTTTTAGCGCCCTCTGAGAATTAAAAACTTTCTGCAAAAACTTTATAAAATTTGTACTGATACTTTTTCTTTGTCAAATTTGCATATTTTACTATGAATTTTGAGTATAGCCAAAATCAGGTACCACAAATAATTACGGGAATGGGTCGAGTGATATATCATATCAAAGTCCTTTCAGTCGATTCGAACGCCACTAAAAAATTTCCAAAAAGTCCCATTATCGAGAAACACGTTTTAAAATTTTGATTTTGAGTCTAAATTCCAGCGAATAATGCGAGCAAGCAGGATTACGATAGCTTATTTAAGGCCGTGAAAACTTAATGTTACTCAAATCAAATGGTATTCGAACTTTTTAGCGCCCTCTGAGAATTAAAAACTTTCTGCAAAAACTTTATAAAATTTGTACTGATACTTTTTCTTTGTCAAATTTGCATATTTTACTATGAATTTTGAGTATAGCTAAATTCCAATTTTTTCGATCAGATTTTTTCATCACACCACGCGGAAAAATATAGCCAACTGGCAGCTGGAAAAGAGCAATGAACGCCAGGAAACTAAGAAAAAACACTGAATTCGTAGAAAGAAATAGATGCCCTTTAAGCTGAATTTCTAGAACGATTTATGATTGGCGCTTTTTTGATAACATTAACCCAACTTCAGAAAACTGGATCAATGGGAAAAGTTTTTATTCCGCTGGGAAATCTGATAACTAATTTCCACTTTCGAAACTAGAGGTAGATCACGTTTTGAGTGACCTTTACATTATGCTGTTCGATACATTTTAAGAAAAGAAATGGAGTGAACTGAAAAAGAAATCAAAGTCAAACAGCGAAAAATTGAAACTGAGCCTGAAAAAATTTTAAGACTTCCTAAAAAAATCACCAAGATCTATATGAGTACTCACTATGTTAAAATCTTAAAAACGGCACTAATAAAAAAAACTTTTTTTTGTATTTTTTGGACTATGGTCGGAACATTTTGTGCTAGTTGCACAGTAACCTGCTACCGTTGTTTTTTATTGCTTATTTCTATTTAGCTCATTTCTATTGCGGATTTTTGTTTATGACGCCGGCGTCACAGCTGCAATAGAGCAGGGGGCTCTACTATTCACTTATCAAGTGAGAAAGTCGAAAAAGAGCAATTTAATAATCGAAATATTAAAAAGTGTATCTAAAACGGTATCAACGGCAACCTTTGCCATTCGCTTTTAAATGCTATCAATAGCTCTAACATCATTGCCTAGATAAATAAATATTTGTGTTATGAATCAAAATATTTGTGCTATGTAAGTAAATACAAAATGATATATTTTTGAGAGCAACTCGGTTGCCTCAATTCAATTCAGGATGATTCAATTCGCCACTTACAATTTAAAAAGCCGAAATATATTACACGTCAATTAAGCTAGTAGTCCTAAATTTGACCACCCTTAACTTCATGCTTTCTGCGCTCCCGAAAACCAGAGTGCTGGTAACGGTGCCATTTGCGGCGACTGCAATCTTCGTCGGATCCACTGCTAGAAAGCAGCGCCGATGAACCATAACTTCAGAACAACTGGTTCGGCAGGTGATACTTCTTTGTGATAATGAGCTTTGGACGTCAATATCTATCATATGATATATAAAAATTCAGCCGAAAAGGGCTACTTAGAAGTCGAAATTCGTCTGGAGAAAAGCACGAGCAAAAAAAGTCTGTCACTTTCTTCGAAAGTCGGACCAAAAAAAACATAGCCAATCGAAGATTCGAAAAGAGTAAAGAACGCAAGTGAACATTAAAAAAACAGACTTTGAAATTCGAAAGTTGAGATTTTCTTTATTAAAGAAAAAATAGATTCCCTTTGAGCTCTTTGAATTTCTAGAACGATTTATGATTGGCACTTTTTTTGATAACATTAACCCAACTTGAGAAAACTGGATCAACAGGTAAAGTTTTTATTCCGCTGTGAATCTATTAACTAAATTCCACTTTCGAAAATAGAAAACGTTCAAGTTTTTCTTTTCGCGCCATTTCCACGTTCGTAATTGGAGAGTGCTATTTACGTAACTTTCAGTAGATGAATTTTAATTGAACTCAAAAAGTGCATTGAACCTGAGTGCATCAAAAATTTAAGACTTTTTACTAAAAAAAAAATCAGCGAGACCTATATAAGAGTCTTCACTACGTTCATTACTCTTAAACAGCTTACAGGCAATTGGGAAGAAAACGGAAAAAAACTGACTGTTTTTTTTTTGAAAAAATTTCTGTTCTCGAAAATAGAAGAGCCTTAAGGCCATATATATTTTGAAGTTCGAAAGCTCTTCTTTTTTCAAGAACAATTTATGTATGGACTTTTTGATAATATTAATCCAAAGAGAAAACTGAATCTATGGGTAAATTTTTATTTCGCTGAGAAATCTAAAAGGTAAACTGTAAACTCCACTTTCGAAACTAGAAGTCGATCACGTGAAATTTTCGTGAACTTTACACTTTTGCTGTCCCATAAAGGAGTCAGCCTTCCTTTATCAAATGAAACAAAATCAAAAATTAAACCGCGAAAAATCAAATTTCAGCCAGAAAAAATCACCAAGACCTGTATAAGAGTATTTACTACGTTCATGACTCGTAATAGAATAATGACTAGGCATAAATGAAATTTTTACCCAGCCATAAATTATGCCAAATTTCGCTTTTGTCTGAAAAAGTAATCGTCTCAACGACGCCAAATTTAGCCATAAATAACGCCAAACTTTGCCATTAATTATGCCAAACTTTGCCATAAATTATGCCCAATTTTGATTTTGTTTGAGAAAGTAATCGTCTCACCGACGCCATACACGAAGAGTGGTTTCATGTGGAACTCCAGCCTGTTGAATGAACTGAAGATATAGCTTCCAAATACGAACATGTTGCGTGACAGGCAATGCTCGTAGGGCTCGGTCAAAGGCGTGTCTGCATCTTGTGACCTGTGAACAAAACTTATAAGAAAAATGAGCCAAAGGAACATGCGCAGAATTATGAAGTGAGAAAAATTAAAACCAAGTTTATTTTGCTTTAGATTGACATTCAAACCTTCATCAGAAGCACCAGCCCGGTGAAAAATTTTGACAAAATCTTTTAGGTGGTAGTTAGTTTCAATTGCGGTTTTTCATTTTTTTTTCAACGAAGTAACTTTATTTCAATTGACTTATTCTGCTGCTTCATAAGTTTAGTCGATTTAATTTGATTTCATTTTAATTCACATCATTTCGTCTTCAAAAAAAACAGTTACCTTCTTCTGGTCCATTAGAAACTTAAGATACTCGAGCCAAACTCTGGGCATTTTGAACATGAAGACTAAAGATCTTTCAAAAGTATTGTTAACATCTTCAAACACAGTGTCAGTCACACAACGTCCTCTCACTTGCTGCTTTCGAAGCCTCAAATAAGCCATCCATAATTTAAAGCTGCCGGGTAACTGCTTGACAGCTCGTTCGTAGACCATATTGAGTTTTGCTTGCGGTGCATTCCGCTTAAATTCTGCATAACGAAGCCATCCTTTTACGACGTACGGATTTCGAATAATTTCTTCTTCATAGGCGTATTCTTGTTCCGATAAAGTCAGTTCAAGCTCATCGGGGACTGGGATACTGTTTTGTTCTGGCGCTGGTTCCTTCATAACTTTCTGATCACTTGTGTCCATATTGCTTGACTCTTCCGTTTCACCAGCACCAGGCAGAGAACTCATTTTTCTGAAACAGAGCAATGCATCAAAAAAGAACATTTTAACGTTTTTACGATTAAAGTAACTGAGAATATTTCTTTGCATGATTAGCCCAATTATTATTTTAACACTCAAAATCAATCATGGGCCTTTTAACTTCAACTAGCGTGTACCGCACCTCCGTGCTTCGAATTTAAGATTAAGACTTTCAGACTTTCAAGATTTTCTTTGAGTGTACTTTGACAGCCCCCAATTACAGGGTTCGTAATTACAAATTTTGCAAAGTTTTTTATTCAAGTTTTTTATATAAATTTTGGAGAACCATAAAATTTTGTCAAGTTT